CAGTGTGGGTACCTGTGTGCAAGTGTCTGCAGGCACGTGCTCTCTGAGGAGGTAGCTATGACTCAGTGGCATCTGTGGGTACCTGTGTGGACATGTGTCTGAGTGCAGGCACGAGCACAGGCTTTTGCTCCCCAGGCGGTGGGGGAAGTGGTTGTGACTCAGCTGCACATGGTGACTGGGAGCCCACAGGCCAGCTGTGACTTTATGGCCTTGCTCACTTGCCAAGCCAAATAGCCAGTGTTGGGTGCAAACATTCTATCACCGAGTGTGCATGGAATAAGTCCTGCCAGGGAGCTGCAGTAGCAGGAGAGACTTCCCAGTCTAGGCCCAGCTGTGCCTGGCTCTGGGTCCCCTACCTGCTGACTCTCACAGGTACGGGTTCCATCCTGCCTCTTTCAACCTCCAGTCTTGTCTTCTGGAGGTGCAGACAGCACTTTCCACTTCTGCTCCACCATCACCTTTCACCACCAGCCCCTGTGCCCACACATCAGGAACCAGGCCCAGAGGGGCAGAGCTGTGGCCTTCAGGCTGCCAGCCCAATCCATTTTTCTTCCACACGGAAAAACCCTTCTGTCCCAGCCCCAGCGAAGCCCAGTCACAGCTTTAGCAAGCACACTTCAGGGAACTTTCCACTCTCTGGCTCCACAGCCAGCCTCCCCATCGGCCCCTGCCCCATCTTCACCTCTGTGTTCCTTGCCCTTCTCTCTATCCCTGACTGTCTCTGTCCTTATCTGTCCCGAGTCTATCTTTGTCTCTTTTCTGAGTCAGGCTGTCTGCAGCACAGGCTTCTCAAGAGTGGAGGTGCTGACAGAGGGGGTTGTGAGGAGGACACTCCGTGTCCCTTCTTCAGCCTTATCGGGAAAACTGAAGTCAGTGCTCAGGGCTCAGGCTGGAATTTCGCCCCAGATGACCTTGCTGGGTTTGCTGGGGCCTCCGCAGGGACAGCCGGGGTCAAACGAGTCAGGAAACAGGCCCCTGCTTGCTGGAGCCGGCCGCTGCCCCCCTCCCGCCCTCCCTCCTCACCCATCCCGTCCCAACAGGCCGCCTCCAGCCCCAGCCGTCCACTGCAGGCGTCCTGGGGCGGGCGGCCCCTGTCCTAGGCACTCACCCAGACCGGACAAGCGGGTGTAAGTATGCGTGCCCGTAATCACGACCCAGGGGGCCGGGAGGGGAGGCCCGGGGGCCGGAGGAGGGGCGAGGCCGGCGCACGCGGGGCCCGCGGGGAGGCCCTCGGTCGGAACATCTGGGTTTTGTCTCAGAGTAGTCAATGCCTGAGTACTCCTGGGCAACTGCCCAGCTCCCTGAGCCTCACTTTCCGCATCTGTAAATTAGGGAAATCACGCCAAACTTCAGAGCCGTGGAGGGCAGAACGAGACCAAGTCGGACCGGCTCCTAGGCGGCGCTTCAGCGCCTGTGGCTGGAACCCGCGGGCGCGGCGCACGCCTGCCCCCTGGCGGCCGCGCCCACTCGCCCGCAGCCGTGCGCGTGCGCAGACCTGCCCTGCCCCCTGCCCGGGGAAGCCCCCTACTCCACTGAGCCTCTGACCTTTCGGTTCCCGGCCCAGGGTTATCCTGGGTCGCGGGGGTCTCGCCACAGGTAGTTTCCCTGGAAGGCATGAACTATTTGTCTCCCACCCCTGGTCTGGAAGCCATTTGAGGACCTGCCAGAAAGACTCGGGGTGGTGAGATTGGCCCTTACGGGGGATATGGCGGAGGCGGGTAAGGGACCCACGTGTTCTGTTTCACCTAAATCTAGGTCGGAATGTAGGAATGTGGGAAGGCTGCGCTCCGAAATCCTAGTAGGTTGTCTCTGAAGAGTGACATTATAGCAAGGCAGTTTGTTCGGTTTTTCTCACTATTCCACATTGGGTATGTATGTATTCCTCGGTGATAAGATAAAAACAAACAAAAAAAACCCCTACAAAACAGGATCCGCCTCCGTCGCCCTGGCTGGAGAGCAGTAGTGTCATCACAGCTCACTGTAGCCTCCAACTCCTGGGCTCAAGCGATTCTCCTGCCTCAGCCTCCGGAATAGCTGGGACTACAGGTGCCCACCCCAAAGGGCTGATTTTGTTTTTTTTCCATAGAGCCAGGGTTTCGCTCTTACTAAGGCTGGGTCTCTGAATTCCTGACCTAAAGCAATTCCCCCTTCTGGGCTTCCTAGAGTGCTAGGGTTAGGCATGAGCCTCCTGGCCTGGTCCTGTGTGTTCTTTTTAAGTATTTCGGACACATATGCCTTCCAAATGGGAATAGAATGAGCCCAGTTAGATGGCGATGCTGCTTTCTTATCAGCCTGGACTTCAAGGGGAGTGGAGGATCCATAAGCCCAAAGGTAGGAACAGTTCTGGCATCCCCTCAACCAGCCTGTGGGCGGACAGTATTCCTAGGGGAGCTGCCCAGGATGGGCCTGACAGCAGCATAGAGAAAACGTAGGAAAAACATAGGAAGTGGGTTTCAGGGAAGCTGCTTTCTGACACCTGTGTGGGCTGCTGGTCCAAGCACAAAGGGGAGGGGCGGTGGAAACGGGACAGAAAAGGAGGACTTCAGTTGGGGAGGGCAGGCTGTGTGGCTTGGGGACTGAACAGAATGGGAGATGTTACACAAAGCTTTCCTCTCCTCAGCCATAAACACAGAGGAAGGCCCACATTCCTGCGGGTGCCCAATCCTAAGAGACCGTGGACTGTGTCTGTGTGGTGGAAACAGGAAAAGGAGGCTGAGTCTAGCCGTTGACGGAATTTAGTGTCTACCACAGATGTACCCACTGCCCAATGCCAAAGACGCAGCAGCCTCAGAAGGGTCAGCATAGAACACCCAGCACCCTCCCCTGCACGTAGAGGTGACTAGCTGGGTGACAGGAAAGAGAAACAAAATGTTTGACACCAAAATGTAATGAAGGACCCAAGAGAAGGTGGATGGCATCCTAGAAGAGGGTCGGGAATTAATTCTAGCATGAATTTGGCATGCCCCTTTCTAGCTCCTTCTCTACAAAGTGAATGGTGTGGGACTAGCTGATCTCGAGGGACTAGCCAGTTAGAGCCTTTTAGAGGCAGTGCAGTAAGACAGTAAACAGCACAAATCTTGAGTGTAAAGTTAACAGATTTTTACATACATAACCATCACCCATTTCCAGCACCCAGAAGGTTCAGTTCTGTTCCTTTCCCCCCCACTCCCTTCCATCTGAGGTAACCACCACTTCTAAATCCACAGAATAGTATTCTGTGTTCTGGAAATTAATATAAATGAATCATGTAATATACGCTCTTTTGTGTATAGCTTCTTTGTTCAACATAAGGTCTGTAAGATTCACCTGCTGTTGCATCTCTCAGTAATACATTCATTTAAGGATATACCATTGTCCGAATATACCACAACTCACCTGTCTGTTATCTACTAATGGATATTTGGGTTGTTTCTGGTTTGGGGCCCATTCAAAGTCGCTGTGAATCTTCTTATATAAGTTTTAGTGGACTTAGGCCTCATTTTTCTTGGGAGTGGAACTGCTAGATCTGAGGGTAGGTGTTATCTTTAGCTTTAGTAGGTATCACCAAATAGTTTCTCAAAGTTAAGGCATGATTTTTATAATCTCAAACTGAATATATAAATAAAGATGGTAGTATAGGGGGAAAGAGAGAAAAGAAATATTCCATAAACTATTCCCAAGAATGACTGTCTCAGTAAATTTTGAGCACCTCCTCTGCTCAAAGGTAGGGTATCTCCTCCATAATTCCACATGGCCTGATTCTCACCCCACTCGGGCACCTGGGCCAGGCTGGCACTATCCTGAAGGTACAATTAAGGCTTTGCCAGATAGAATAAGCACTAATGCTGTATGGGGCCCATCACCACCTGGGCAGTAAATCTGGAAATTTATTCTTCACCAGATACTGACTGATACCGACAGACACCCTGTGTTTCACCCCCATGGGGTGAAATGGGAGTCTAGCACCTTTCATACATGCCTTGGCAACCTGCACAGAAAACCTTTAACATATTCAAAGCCATTCTCTTTGCATCTATGAAGAAAGGCCTTTACACAGAGTTTCTGAAGCACAATGCCCCAGGCTTGGTTTGCCAAAGCTCCTTCCCCCTGCTCTCTGCCAGCTCACAGAGCAGTCCGCTGCCCCTTCCAGGTGCACCTCATTTACACCCAAGGGGTCAGTCAACTCCTGAAAGGGAAATCCTAAGCCTTTTACGTTTGGTATAACAGAACTTGCTATTGTGCAGAGCAGGTTTTCTCAGCCTCACCCACTGTTGAAATGTGCATAGTTCTCTGTTCTGGGAACTGTCCTGGGCATGGTAGGACGTTTTACAGCATCCCTGGCCTCTACCCACTTGATGCCAGTAAAGCTCTCTCCAGTTGTATTAACCAAAAACATCTCCAAGCATTGCCACATGCCCCTGGTGGAGGGCAAAACTGCCACCGGTTGAGAAGCCCTGAAAGAGAGGAAAGAACAGCTTTGAAAAACACCAACTAGTAAATGTTCTCTCTCGCCCACTTTCCCTCTACCAGAAAGATCAGCATTCCAGTATACAATCAAGCTGGACTGAGTGGGCCCCTTAGTCCACAATAGGAGTTTTATCTTGTAACCATGTAAGCCAAAACAAAAGAGACCACACTGTTTACTCTGGTGAAGGAAAAACTAAAAGGCATAAAAAGAAAATACAGGAAACAGAGGTAAGAAGGTCTGGAGGTAACAGCAACAATGAGGGCGAAATCGTCTTTGTAAGTTCCCGTTTGAGAGCTGACACATCAGCCATGGTTTGCCCACATTCGTGACTCAAACACCAAACATAAGGCCACGGCTAACTTCTTGGGGTCTAAACTCCAAATCCAGTTTTTTCAGGAAATGTATGTATGAAAATACACATACATAGACACAACTTTACCCCACTGTTTTATTAAATCAGACAGTTTACAATGTATGTTCTGGTATTTTAATTTTCTTGCTGGGTCTATCTTATGTACTAAAAAAAAAATACAAAACATTTTTAATATATCTTAGAAAAATTAGCAAAAAAGTCAAGTTGAGCACATTACATTGTACAGTGTTTCAAGAAGAATGTTTTAGGAGTATAAATATTTGGTTTCCTCTCAACACAGCATATCACAAAAATACATTCTTAAAACTTTTTTCATGCATAATTCCTATAAATGCTCATATCCCTTCCTACTTATTAAAGGCCTGATTATGACAATCACTCTGAAATTTTCTGTACAGTAATTACAAAAGACCACCATGGCTCCTGTCAGCACTTTGACAGCTGACATCATTTTAAATATTAGGAGGAATTCAGTTAGCATCAAAATATCCTTCCAAATGGGATCGACTTAGTTCATTTCTGTACTTTGATTCATGAAGTACCCATCTTAGCTAAGGCACTGTGTAAAAGGATTTTTTGCCTCCTAGAGATAGTGCCACTGAGGTCAAGATGTAAACACAATGCATTCAATAGAAACCACCTGCACAACCACATACAACTGCTTGGTCAAGCAAAGGGCCACCTGAGACTAGAAAGTGCGCAGTCCTCAGGCAGGCATCCCAGGGCCACACAGTGAGGTCCAGGGGAGCCTGTAAGCTCCAGGTCATGTTTTCAACTGTAGATGTGGAATAAGCCAGGTTGAAGGAAGGACATTCTCCAAAGGTATGTGGCCTATTTCAACACGTCCCCAAAGTAGAAATTCACATGTTACACCACTACCCTTCCCCCAGGCATAGGGTGTTAGTCTCCTAAGCCTCTTTCCACCCCATTGATTTCACTTCAGCTTCTTTGTATTTTTTCCTTATTCTGGTGTGACATGTAATCAAACCACAGGGAAGGTTCCACTTCTTACCTAGGTCTTGGTCTAATATACCTCCCAGCTACTAAATAAAACCGTAATACTGACAAACGGCTGGGCAGAAACCAGCACCCAAATTAGCTGCTAAATTTTGAGGGTACATGATACAAAGACATTTTACATAATAATCTAAACTTTATAAAGGCAACCTTAAAAAACATTTAAGTTACATTTTTATTAAACAGCAAAAAACCTGAAGATAAATTTCTAAAATTTTTCATTTGCCAATGTTTTCCAGTCATAAAAGGCAGTAGTTTATGGGATTACATTCCAGTTTCCTCTCATGTAAATAAAAACATACACTGAAATCTCTAAAACCATACTCTCCAGATGTGGCCATCTTTTTAGAATAGCTTCCTTACTACTTTTATGCAAGCATTAGCATAAGGACCCACGAGGTTCTCTGTCCTCATTTAATACTTGTAGACAGGGAAAGACTTTAATTATTCCACTGAATTCTGCTGCCTCTTTTTTTCAAAGCAACAACTGAATTATCCCCAAATTTATGTACAATTTTAAGCATCATTACTGTCCACGGAGTTACTACTATTGCTTATACACTGTGAGTAGTGTTGGAAGGCTTGAGCTCATAAATAATATTCTTAATCCGGTAAGAAATCATATACGAAAACCTTCCTCAATACTCCTTTCAAACCAGATGCATAGAAACTGTGATCCCAATTTACAGGCTATTCCACTGTCACCACCCCTGGAGGAAGAGAAAAAGCAGAAAAGCTGCCCACTAACGAAGGCTGACATCATGGCTCAGCTAACAGAAGACACATCACTATCTTCATGACGTTTTGAGTCTAGCAGACAGTCAACTCCCACGGCCCGTGTGCACATAACCTGCTTTATAAATTATCCAAATTTTATTTCGAATTAGCTTCTTTACTACTTAATAGAATCCTCTCACAGCCTGGCATATACTTGGTAGCATATCATTTGCTAGAGAGAGAGAACAAGAGAAAATTAGGTTAGGTAATGAGCAAAGGGATGTTTCCTTTGAGGTGAGGGGAAAAGAGATGGGAATGATACATGCCAGTTTATGAAGGATAGGGAAGACGTTTCTTACTATACGCTCAGAAACTTAGCAAGCTGTAAGTATAGTATATATATAGTGTCATCCACTAACCAGCTCACATTCCAGGACCTCAACCAGGAAATGGCAGTGGCCACATGACTCCTCCATCAGAAAACCAATGGTCAAAGGCGTTTCATGTCAGCTGGCACGGAATGGCAAGCAGAATGGCCCATCTGGTCTAAAAACACCTACTTGGAGAACAAACCTGCTGCCCAAGGGAAAATCCTGACACCCGGTCCAAAGAGATTCTGATTGTCCAGTGGTACTGAGCATCTATCCCCCCCCTCCACCCGCTTCCAATACTGCAGGTGATGGAGTTGACTGTGCTATCTATAAACTGCCTCATTTACAGAAGAATCAGAACTAACAGGTAATTTTCAGAAGCTGAAGTTTTCAGAGAAAGTAAAGAGCATGACAATCAAAACTGCCTTTTTTTCAGGAAGATAAATAGGAAGGTTTCTTTAGGACATTGACCCAATTAGAGCCACTGAAGGAAGAAGAGTTAGAAGCAGCAAAGCCCATTTCTTTTGTCTTTAGCATAAAGCTCTCCTGCCACGAAGTATCTACACAGCCAGGGTGACTTCCGCCGTGGACAGTCACTCTGTGGTCTTCTTCTCTTTCCAGTTCTTCTCTCTCTCTTCAAGTTCTGCCTCCGTGAAAGCAGCAGGTCCCCAGTTAGTGATCAGGTGAGGGTTCTTTGAACCTAGGAGACAGACATGTAAACATGTTTTAAACAGGAAGGATTATATTCTTCTACGTACTTTACCATTTCTCCACGTAATAAACAGTAGCGTTTCTACTTTATGTCTTCTCCAAGGAATATTCATAAATGTCATTACCAACGACAACAACCAGAAGATGTGTACGGAGGGGATTAACTGGGCCCTCCTTCCTAGTAGAGGGCAATCTATTCAACAGAAAGGCACCCTCAACAGTTTAGTTTTTAAATATTTGGGCTAAAAAGGGGTTTTTTTCCTCCAAGTATAATTCAAATATATAAATAAAAATAAATTTAAAAATAAACATGCGATTACTTCATAGAGTCTGTTACCTGGTTCTATCAGTCGAATCAGTCCTTCATGATGGGCCACTTTGTCCCTCCAGCTCTTGGTCTTACTAGTCGCCATCTCCAGCTTCTTTTTAACTCCCTGGAACAAAATCGGATTTTGGACTATGCAGAGTTTAAGAACCAAATAACAATGTTTGGGCACTTACTGTATGCTGGTAGATTATCTCACTAAGTCCTCACAGCCACTCTGAAGAGTTACTGTTATTAGCCCCCACTATATAGAGGCGCACTAGGGTTCAGAGAGGTCACACAGAGGAAACAGCAGGATTGGAGCCCAGACAGTTGATCCCAAGGCCTGTCCTTCCACCATATGCACACTACCAACAGATGAATGTACGTCCTTGTGCCAGGTGCAGTTTATGGCCTCTGCTCCAAATCCAGCCAACGCTGTCCTGCTGATAGCATCATTCTCCCTCTCTAGGTAGCTTTAAGCTTTGTCAGTAGAGGGCGCTGAAAGGACAAGAAGAGGAAGGGACTTTTCCCCACTGCTTCCGCTGGGCTGGCTCCTGTGGCACTCAGGACACTCACGGTGCTCACCCACAGTGAGTTTCTGTGGCTTCTCCTGAAGGGTGGCTTCCCAGTGAGTTCTGCCGGCACAGCACCTGAACAAACTTTTCTGCTGTCTATGGGCTCTCTCCAAGGAGGCCTAGATCACAGCATTGGGGTTAAAGGGCAGGGGACCCTCTTCTAGATTTGTTCCTTCCCCAGATCACTGCCTCAGTCCTACAGGCCGTGACTGTGTCCTACATCTGCCATTCCTGAATTCTTCAAGTCATGTTTACAGCTTAGTAGGTAATCCTCTGTTGTGGTTAACAATTTGGGGGTGTGGGTAAGGACTGGAAAACTTGTCAGATAAATTCTAAAGGAACTGTAACATTAATTTTTTTATATTAAACTTTCCCAGTTCAAATTATTGTGTGATTTGTCTCCTGAGTGGACTGACTTCTGTCCCTCTTCTTACAGCTAAGCGAAATTCTTACTCTAGCATCGTCCTGACAGCTAAGCAAACATCCTATTACTGGGAAAAAAAATTGACTTTAACCACACAAGTTTGCACGGCCCAGTTTAACTACCTCGTACTGCTCCAGCGCCTGCTTCCGCTCTAACTCCAGCTGCTCCAGCTGCTCCAGGGCCACCTGAAGGGCTCGTTCTTTCAGGAGGCGCTGATTCTCCAACTCTTGCTTCTCTGCTTCGGTCGTCTGAATTGCCTGCTGCTGCTCCAAGTGCCACTTTTCCAGTTCAGCCCTCTTCAAAGACTCTTCCTCCAACAACCTACAGTGGGGAGAGCTCGGGATCAGATCCTGCCCAGGTCACCTTCCGACCCAGCAGGGGAGGGAGGCACTTTACACAGGAGAGTATTTGAGGCCGTCTCATCCTCCTTTCTCATTTTATGAGAAAACCAGGAGCCAGAGGAGGTCACATTCACAAAGCTGGTAAAGTGGCTCATGTGCCCTGCTGCAAGCTCTCTGAGTTTCACCCTTTGTTGAAAATAACCTTCGCACTATAGCTTAGAGTCCACACACCAGACGCCTGTCATCCTACCCCTTGCCAGCTGGGACATGGTGGAAGCATGAGTTCCTTCTGGAGCTTTGACTTTGAATCAACTGACACAAAGAAGCAGAGACAATGGAGAAGGTATCTTACGGGCAGCAGCAACATTCAGTGTCAGAAGCTTCCACAGGCACAGCTGATCCCCAGGCCCAACACTGGCATTCGTGGCACCCAGTGGACTGTTCCCATGCTAGGTTGGGACAGTGGTTTGGGCTACTCATCCTCCCTGAATTTCACCTGTGTTTAAGGCCTTAGCCACCGCCTTTCTGTGAAAATGGTGAACTATTTTAAGAACCTTCCAATAAATTATTTTATTGCTTTAGCTAAGACAAGTTGGTTTGTAAACAAGACTCTTGACCAAAGACTTTAGTGCCTCACTCTCTGTGCCTCAGCTTTATACCAACTACCAAAGGTTTGTTGATGGATTAAAGGTGATAATGCATGTAAGGTACTTATATGCCTACCACCTAGTAAGTGCAGTGTAAATAACATTATATAACATCATTAGTACAGTAGATCTATTACCTCATTTGCTCTGGACACTTCAAATTCATTAAGGCTGCCTGACAGTATATGAGGTTGCTGGCAACTATATAACAGAGGTGAAACCCTGACTCTTTTTAAAAGAAATGCTATTAAGCCAAGTCTCCTAGATCCTATACTTGTTCTGCTGATATTTTAAATTATCCTCTTGGTTTAAAAGCATCATTGCAACCTGTCAATATTTTTTTTTTAAGAGACAGAGTTTCACTCTATTGCCCTTGGTAGAGTGCCGTGGTATCACAGCTCACAATAACCTCCAACTCCTGGGTTTAGGCGATTCTCTTGCCTCAGCCACCCAAGTAGCTGGGACCACAGGTGCCTGCTACAACACCCGGCTATTTTTTTGTTGCAGTTTGGCCGGGGCCGGGTTTGAACCCACCACCCTTGGTATGTGGGGCCGGTGCCCCATTCACTGAGCCACAGGCACCACTCTGAATGCTTTTTTTGAGACAGAGTGCCATGGCATCATCATAGCTCACAGCACCCTCAAACTCTTGGGCTCAAGCGATCCTCTTCCCTCAGACTCCCAAGTAGCTAGAACTACAGGGATCTGCCACAATGCCCAGCTAGTTTTAGAGACCGGGTCTCACTATTGCTCAGGCTGGTCTTGAATTCTTGAGCTCAAGCAGTCTACTGGCCTCAGCCTCCCAGAGTACTGGGATTATAGCCAGCGTGCTCAGCCTGATGCTTATTTTTGACATACTATACATTATTTATCTTCTCCATCTGCAAACAAGATAAAGGAACAAAAAAAAAAACCACTGGGTGATGACAAATGCCAGACACTTGGCATGCGTCATTTCATTTTATCTTCACAACAACCCACAAGGTTGGCAATTACCCTTGTTTTACAGATAGAGAACTAAAGATGCAAAGCAGTGAAATATCTTCACAAAAGTTACACATCGAGAAGTACCAGAGTGGGAATCAAACCCAGACCTCACTGCAGAGCCCAGTCCTAAGTGCCTTCAAATACATGGAAAGTATTGTATCACCTGGGAGAGAGACTGTTGTTCCATGTGCCCCAATGCATAGAACTCGGATTCATTCATTCATTCAAAAAATATTCCTTGGGAACTTACTGCGTGCCAGGCACCACACTAGCTGCTGAGAATACAGACATGACAAAGGCACGCTTCTGGGCCTTACGATCCAAAGCAGATGAAAGTTATAAAGGGACACATTATGGCTCAGCCTCAAGAACCTTCTTTCTAATAACCTGAGTTTTCCAAATGTTACATAAACAGTTTTCTTCTGAGCTCCCATCAAAAAAGGGTAGATAACCTTTAGGATTACACATCAAAACAAAAGAACAAAAACAAAAAAAATCCTTCGATTTTTTTTTTTTTGAGATAGAGTCTTACTTTGTCACGCTTGGTAGAGTGCCACGACGCCATAGCTCACAGCAACCTCAAATTCCTTAACCTCTTAGGCTTAAGGAATTGTCTTGCCTTAGCCTCCTGGGTAGCTGGGACTACAGGCTCCTGCCACAATGCTCAGCTATTTTTAGAGATGGGGTCTGGCTCTGCTCAGGCTGTTTTTGAACTCCAACTGCCTTGACCTCCCACAGTACTGTAACAATGAAGGAACTTCACAATGACAAAGAATGAACCCATTAGAAAAATAATGAGATGTTAAATATTCTAAGAATGACTTGCTATTGCTTTAAAAAAGGGCAGAGAAGAGTTAACTAAAAGCCTTTACATAGACCGCTTGGCCTAAGACTGTTTCATTTCATTAATGCCAACTTTTCCAGCCCAAGTCATGCTGACTCCCTTGCTTTTTCCTACCCAGAAAGGCCTATCCTGAGAAGCAAAAGGCAAGCCTCTTCTGCTGATCTGAAAGAATGCCTCTATGAATCAGGCTCAGCTTTGGGAAAGACGGAACTCACTATACTTAAAAATAACCACTAGAGGGAGCACATTTGCCCATCTCAAGCTCCCAAAACTAAGAAAAATAATTTAGTATAGTAAAATAGTTATACTGATAAAAGGGCCCTTGCACATCCAGAAAAACTTAAATTTTTGTACAATACTTTCAGAGTACTGAAGCAGAGCTTTATATACTAGTCATATTTGCATTCAAAAGGTTGAAACTGTTTTGGTATTTGCTTAAATAAGAGTGTACAAATAATTAGCCAGAGTTTTTAAGATAACAATATTCATATCTCGCTTCTATCCACAGATATTTTGATTTAGTAAATTTTTTAAAAGCTTTTAAGATGATTCTCTGATATATATCACCAGTTAAAAACAAGTGGCTTGATTAAAAAATTGTCCCTCATTTAGAACATCACTCATTCTATAAACACTAAATAACTGATACTTCAGTAAATTATCTGGTTCCCTTTGTGATCCAATCTCTGCTGTGTCATCATCAAGCTCCCTCAAACTGAAGTAATATACACAGCATATCTCACTGCATTAAGAACAATCTATAGGCAGGGCACGGTGGCTCATGCCTGAAATCCTAGCCCTGTAGGAGGCCAAGATGGGTGGATTGCTTCAGTTCACAAGTTGGAGACCAGCCTAAGCAAAGGATGCTGTGAGCTATGACATCATCTACCCAGGATGACAGCTTGAGACTTTGTCTCAAAAAATAATAATAATAATAATAATCTACAAATGCCTAACACTGAAAAGGTGAGTAGTGTTACACAGAATGCGACTCTTTAGAAGTCCCACGGAAAGCAAACCTTCCCATTTAGTGGATCTGCTAACATTACTACCCAATGGCACTGGAAGATATTTCCAAGAACCTGCTTAACACCACAGTACAGTAAACATACCTGGGGGCCTATACATGCCAGCCGACATGCTAAGCAGTTAATTTTCTGTTTAGAAAATAATTTTTTCCTTAATAAAATCTAAATTTCCTTTTTTTTTTTTTTTTTTGCAGTTTTTGGCCGGGGGTGGATTTGAACCCAGCACCTCCAGCATATGGGGCCAGCACCTTATTCCTTTGAGCCACAGGCACCACCCAAGTAAATTCTATTTTTTTTTTTTTTTGCAGCTTTTGGCTGGGGCTGGGTTTGAACCCGCCACCTCCGGCATATGCCATTGCCCTACTCCTTTGAGCCACAGGTGCTGCCTTTTTTTTAGTTTTTTTTTTTGAGACAGAGTGTCACTATGTCACCCTCAGTAGAGTGCTGTGCCATCACAGCTCACAGCAATCTCAAACTTCTGGGCTTAAGCGATTTTCCTGCCTCAGCCTCCCCAGGAGCTGGGACCACAGGCACCGGCCACAATGCCCCACTGTTTTTTTGTTGCACTTGCCATTGTTGCCCAGCAGGCCTAGGCTAGGTTCTAACACGTCAGCCTTGGTGCATGTGGCTGGTGCCATAACCACTGTGCTGTGGGTTTTTAAGCCTAAAATCTAAATTTTCACTGGGTGTGGTGGCTCACTCCTGGATTGCTTGAGCTCAGGAGTTCGAGGCTTGTCTGAGCGAGAGACCCCAAATCATGAAAAAAATGGAAAAACCCAGCCAGGCACGGCAGCAAGCACCTATAATCCCAGCGACTTTGGAAGCTGAGGCAGCAGGATGCCCACAGCCTGAGTCTGAGGTTGCAGTGAGCCATGATGCCATTGCACTCTGCTCAGAGCATAGGGTAGAGGTCTGTCTCGACAAAAAAAGAAAACCTAAATTTTTAAAACCGAATTAATCTATTTTTGAAGTCACTTTTAGCAAAGTATACAACTAAAAAAGACTCCTTTTTTTCCCTCTTCCAACCTAAGGATTAAACAAACATCTTTTGCTGTTCCACACATAAAATGGCAGCCATGGAAAATCTACCCCGGGCTTATCTCATAACTGCTCCCCCAAACAGGGGTCACAGCTCAAAGCCCAGGGATAGCTGCATCGCTTCTCTCCCATTTCAAAGAATGCAAATCAGGCAGCAAGACAGAAGTTGGAAGAGAGTAGCTCTAATTTTCTCTTTGGTGTCTTTTCATTTTGTCCTCCCTGCTGCTATAAAGGCCCCAAATTGAGAGTTCTTATCAGAGAGCATGACCATTATAGGTAGTGAACCTGCCTTCAAAAGCTCTAAAGAAAAGAAAAATCTATAGATTTCAAAAGAACTTTTAAAACTGGGATTTTGAGTGGTAATTATTGAAAGAATATCACTAATCCTGAATAACCAAACAGTGTATTTCCTCCTTATCCCCCAAATGTGGCTCCAGCTCCAGCCTGAGCATGCCCTGCCTCCATACCAAAGGCCTTCTCTGGTCCGGGACATTTAAAGAAGCCAAGTTCTCTGCCACAGGAGAGCCTAAGTCTGTGGATGTTCTGGGATATGACTAAGGGTACCCCGTCAGACACAGACACCAAACCATTCTAATATAGATATAAAGCCCTTCTTTAGGCCCAGAGCAAGGGATTCTCAGTGCCCTAGAATGAGAAGAAATACCTAGCCAGCCAAGTCCCTAGGGTCTACCCAATCTGGACAACAACTCAAGAGAGACACTCCTTTCTCTCCGGTAGAGTGTTAGTCATTCTGAGAAAATGCATTAGCCCAAGCAAAGGACATAAAGGCAAAGGCTAAAAACTGATCCGGCACCTGGCTTGAAGCTTCCGCACCGTCTCTTCATCTTGCCGGGCCTGTCTCTCATCCTCAAGAGCCTCCTGCAGCTTTACGTACATGTCTTCGAGTTCCCGGACTCGCTGCAAATACTGTTCCAGTTCAGAGGACTTTTGAGCAACCTCTTCTTCCATCTGCTGTCTGATCTGATGGTATAAAACGGTCAAGTTGAATACACAGACTTCTTCCTCAGGGAAACGCTCTCCCTTCCCCTCCACAGCCCCAATGTACCCCTCAGTAGCCCATCAGGATGATGGGGCCCTGGCCTTTAATCCTTTAATAAAGGATGGAGGAGTTAGGGAGCACCACACCCAATACTAAAAGTAAAGGAGTCTGGGAAACACAAACTACAACCTTGGATGCTGGGATCTCTGCCCTGGTTTATTTTCTATCCCTTCCATTCCATATTTTAAGACTTGAGTCGAGAAAGAAAAGTCCCCCTATATAATTACTCTTTAAATTCTTTTCTGTCTGAAAGCCACAACCTCTTCACCAACCCAGTCTTCTCTAAAAGCAGGAAATCTTTTCCCAGGCAGAGCAGCCAGAGTGTTGGAAAGGCAAGGAGAGCACAGCCTACAGAGCCTCCTCCTGCGCTCACCTGGCTGCCTCCATTTCTCCTTTTGCTCCTCTCTAGGACACCTGCAGAACTCAGAGAGTTCAATTACTGTTTTAACAAGTTATGGGTTTTTTTTCCCCTTATAGGTTAAAGAGTTTTGAACCCCTGTCTTAAAAAAGCAAAAGAGAAGGCCATTCTAAATATAATCCCATACACGTGAGCCTGTGTCTCTGCTATTTATATTTTCACTTGCATTAGCTCACTTCGTCCTCATAAGAGTCATGAGAGATTGTATGATCTTCCTGCATTTACAGAGAAAGCCAGTGCTCAGTAGGAGTAGAGAGGAAATGAACCAGACCTCTGGCTGTGAGGGTGGCACTACATGACATCACATCTGCTTTCCTCCAGGTGCTTGTCTCTCATAACCCAAAAATGCCTCTTTCAACTGAGGCAAAAGGTGACTAAAGGAAATGTCACCTGCATATGTGGATTTAGACACTGGGCTCCATGCTGGGTGCTCTCCCGCACAGCATCACTTAATGCAAGATCTGTGTTCTAACTAAAGCAACCTGATCCTGGGGTCTCTTGGGGATAGGAGCCTCTAAGACACCGGTTCTCAACCTGTGGGTCGCGACCCATAGGAACTGTATTAAAGGGCCGCAGCATTAGGAAGGTTGAAAACCACTGCTCTAAGCTGAATCAGAGCTACCAAGAGCAGCAACCCAGGATCCAGGTGTTCTTATGATTTCAGAACACTCTCCCCAGTTTAGCTCATTATAGGGGAGAAATGCCATGGAACCCATGCTCGCTTTTTCCATAGCTATTGAAGGAAATCAAATATTTCACCCCAAGTACATTTCCTTGGCACACTTTGAGATGGCCTGCAAACAGAAGTCGCTGTCTTTGTGGGGAAGATTTGCATCTGTAGAGAAAATCTGCACTGAGGTGGCTAGGTTTTCTCTGAGGCCTTCCCCTGTCCAGATATAGGAAAGATTAACCAAGAGTCTGACATTGTAAAGATCTCGGAGAAACATTTGCCACCTATTCTCTCTGAGGGCTGCAGCCTGTGCAATTTCATCTATATACCACCACCACCTTTGCCAGCCACGCCCCCTCCTTCCCCCCCACCATGACCTGTTTTGCCACAATCCAAGTTCGGATTCTTTCTGTAACCTCAAGATGGTATATAAGCTTCTGAAGCCCAGTGAGGGCTTGGGGGCTGTCACTTGGTGGTTCTCCCTTTGTACACATTCATAAATTTATATGCCTTTTCTCTGGTTAACCTGCCTTTTGTCAGGTGATTCTAGTGAATTTTCATAAGGCGAAATGGAAGTTTTCCCTTGGCCCCTAACATTTATTTTCCAAAGCAGAACTCTTGAGAATGAAAGAGATTTTAATAAATACTATACTGGGAAGACAGGGAATGTCTAAGGTAATCCAGGACGTATCATCACCCTCACCAAGCACTTATCACCCCACTGCAAAAACTTCTATTTAGATGTCTTGAAAACAAGGTTTCTGTCTTGTACCTTTACATCTCTGGCACAATGGCTGGTATATAGAAGGTGCTCATTAACAGATAACGAAGGAATGAACAACACAACTTTCCCAGCAGCCCACTGCAAGTCAGTGGCAGAACCAGGCTGATGAGACGGCCTCACTGCAGCTGCTCCCAGCCCGTCCCCCGCCCCCACTCTGGCTGGCTCTGTGAGCTACCAGCAGCTTTCCCCAGCCACGCGGCACTCACAAGCTTCTCTCGCTCCAGCTCTGTGCTGAACCGGGCCTGCAGTTCCACTTGAGTCTGAAGGCGTTTCTTTTCCTCTTCTGCTGCGCGAGACGCTGCTTCTTCCAGTTTCTACCCAATGAAAAAAAAATCCACAGATTGTCACAGTGGAAGGACATTAGAGAGGCAGAGAGAGTCACATTTAAACATGTGGAAGAAGCCAAACAGTTCTCAACATTCAAGAAAGACAGAATAAAAACTGGCAGCTCCGTTGGAATTCCGTTCCAATAATTTGTCAAATCAACACACAAAACAAATTAGTAAATGAATGACTATTAATAAAACTGAGCAAAATTTTACAAAGAAAATTTTCGTACAGTCACTGAATTAACTTCATTCATCACTGCATTCACGAGGTGTGAGAGTTATTTCTGGAGCTCCTTCTGCACAGTTTTGTCATCTTACGCATTGTTCCTTAAAACTTTTAGCAGATCTCAATTTCCAGAAGGGTGGCAGGAGGACTTCCAAGACTTTTTCCCCAGCGAAACCATAATTGGTATAAACTATTTTTTAAAAAACTATTTAAAGTCTCTAGAAATTATCCTAAGGGCATACAGATATGGAGAACATTTATCTAAGAAAATCTACTAAATCTCTGTTAGAACAGCAGCATCTATGGTGTTTGAGGCACCATGTACTCCCTTCTCCTCCCCTGCAATGTCAGTGAGAAGGAAGCTCTGCTCCAAGCAAATGGAGCCCAGAACAAGGGCTCCCTCTCCCCTCAGCTCATAGGCATCTAGGGCTATATCTTCCTGGAGGGGGAAGACCACCAGTATTTCTCATCCTCCCCAGTTCCATGTTGCAGAACCTCTTTACAGGCCAGAGTGGCTGAGAGATCTAAGGCCGCCTTCCTCCACTAGCCCTCACTCAAAGGGCAGAAGTATGACAGGCTGAGACTATTGGACCTGATCACTCTTGCCCCAACTCACTTGGGAGGCAGAAGTTGCACACAGGGAGAGGCAGGTGGCAAAGACCAAAGACCATCACCTCTACCTAATGACAGGCTCATGAGGCAAGAGAAAAGCGGACTATCGTGCCTACCCACAGCTCCAGAACATTGCACAGAGGTTCTGCCCAGGGAGAAAGTCAGGTTCTGATGTTCTCCCCAAGAGAACTGACTTTATTTGAAAGTCTGAGAAAGTATAAACCTAAGGACACTCTTGAAAACAATGGAGATTCTGTTGCAAAGAATTAAGAGGAGGTTGGTAGTTGCACAAGAGAAAGGAACTAAGCCACAAAAGTTTGACAGAGAACCAGGGCAAGAGATGGCTAAGATAAGAGCTTAGGTAATAGGAACAGGTCTTAAAGACTAGCTTTAAAGACTATATGTGAGCCTGTATTTAAATCATATCAGATTGTGGGGCAATTTAGGCTCTAGGACAGTGGTTCTCAGTCTTCCTAATGCTGTGGCTCTTTAATACAGTTCCTGTAGGTCTTGACCCACAGGCTGAGAGCCACTGCTCTAGGACATTGTGAAAAACAACAAAGCAATCAGCTATAATTAGCGAACCTGAACAGCTGGGCGTGATACAAATAGAGGGTGACTGCTTATAAGAGAGTAGGAAAAGAAACAGTCAAAGAGAGCCCAGCTAATATCACAGCACGTGCCCAAGACTGTAGGGAAGGGTACAGTCGGTATCTAGAGTTGCTACCGTCCATTATCTAAAATGTCCAGTTTTCAACAAAAAAAATAATGAGACACACACAAAAAAGAAGATAGTATAATCCACACACAGGAAAAGCAGCAGGCAATTGCCAGGAACGAAAGCTCATGCCTGTAGTCCTAGCACTCCGGGAGGTCAAGGTGGGAGGATCCCCTGAGCTCAGGAGTTTGTGACCAGCCTGAGCAAGAGTTCAGACCCCATTTCTTTAAAAAAGAGGAAAAGGAAGAAAGACAAGAAAAGAAGCAGACGATAGAGACGGCCTTTGAAGAGGCCCAGACAGTGGATTTAGCAGACAGACTTCAAAGTAGTTGTTAAAAACACTGTATGTTCAGACAGCTGAAGGAAACCTGCCTAAAGAATGGAAGGAAAGACAATATTCCATCATAAATGGATCTCAACAGAAAGAAATTATAAAAAGAACTAAATGGAAACTCTGAAGTTGAAAAATACAATAACTGAAACGAAAAATTCACTAGCAGGACTCAACCGTATACTAGGACTGCAAGAAAAATCTATCAAAGGTCGATTCAAAGAAATTATGCAATCGAAAGAACAGAGTGAAAAAAATAATGAGAAAAATGTACAGAGCCTGAGAGAAACGTGGGATGCCATTTTTACATACCCCAACATGGGCATACTGGAAGTATCAGAAAGAGAGGAGAAAGGAGTAGGAAAAAATGTATGAAGAAATTTTAAATTTCTCCAGTTTGATTCAGTGAATTCTAGGATACACACAAAGAAATCCACATTCAACGGTCCACCACGGGAAAACTGTTGAAAGACAAAGACAAAAATAAAATCTTGAGCAGCAAAAGAAAAATGATTCACTTCACATTAGGGGATTCCAGTAAGCTGGGCAGGTGACTTCTCATCAGAAACATGTGACTAGTTCCAGCAAAAATACTGTAAACTGCAGTGCGACATTTCTGAGCTGGAGCACTTCACTGCCAAACTCCAGAACACTTTTTCCTTTTCCAGAGTGAACAGTAACATTCAAGATCGTGGCTGTTCCACCAACCTGGATTTTATAATTACAGATGTACATACTATCTGGCCTAACATTCCCAATTCTGTGAATTTACAGAGATATTAGGACATGTACGAACACAAAGACGATGGCACAGGTACATGTCTAATTCTCTACAGCACTGCCTGTTAAAACAACCTCCAAGTTCAACAGGGGACTGATTAAAAAAGTAATCACACAGCCATACGATAGGATAGTATACAGCCATAAAAAAGAGTGAAGAATGGCTCGGCGCC